CTGTGGTGCGAATAAAAACCCACTTAAGTGAAGTTTTTTGACTGAGCCATCATTTTTACATTTATTTCGGACGAACCCGTGACAGTTGGTTTGCAGGTGTGAAAGGAACACACTGTGAAACAAAAGAACTATTTTACTGCCTGGTGCGACCAAATAATCAAACTTGTAGTGTGGAAGTGCCCTACGTCGTTTTTGATCAATATTGTGATTAAAACTGTCACAGTTGTAACAGAATGATCCTCAGAGATTAGAACTATAAAGACACATAAACATTAAAATATGTTTCTGTTGTAATATTCACATGTGCGAGGCTCAGTGGTTAAAGCTGTGACCTCCGCCCTCTGCTCACTTCCCATTTCTGTCCACAAACACTAAGGACAAAAATAAACACAAATACTGTAAGTCACAAACTTCTAACGGACGGTTACAACATCGACTGAACTGTGACAAAGCGATTAAACAAAACCTAGAATATCTGTGTCTGATCTGAACGGCCTCTGCATAAACCTGAGCCGGTGCAGCTTCACCCAAACCCAAACATAAGTGTGTGTTCTGTTTGTTTTTCAGCTCAGGGACACGGAGCCAAAGGAGAGAACGAGTACGAGTTCAGTCTGCAGTTCAGAGAGCCCGTCAAACCAGAGGTGAGGTTGAGGGTTCGATGCCCCAGGACGGCTGTGGTGGCAGAGTGGTTAGTGCTCCTCCAGGAACTAAAGATATAAACTTAATCAAAATGTAAAAACGTGGGATGTGACTGTATCTAGATCTTGGATTTATGGATTCTTATGGTCAGACAGGAGTTTATTTATTTGCTTTACAGGTTTCTGTCACTTCCTGTGTCCTCCTCAGACCCGTCACATAATAGTGTAGTGACACGTCTTGTAACTGAATAGATGCAAGATTAGTGCGGTCAAGCGATTTAAAAAAAAATTGAGAGATTAATTAATTATGATCTGTAATTAATTAATCTTATTAATCTCTTTTTAATCCTAAAAATTGCTGAGAAAAGCCTCAACTTGAGGTATTTCCATTTGAATTCATTATTACATTATTTTCATACTATCATTAACGTTTTTATAAGTATCATTATTATTAGTCCAATGAGATTCATTTGGTCTTCCAATATTCTATGTTATTAGGTTCTTTTTTATTTCATACCTGGACAGAACCAACATCATAACAGATGAACAAGACAAACAGGAAGAAGACAGACACATTCACAATGTGCTAAGGCAATGCCAATACGCAAAATGGGCAATAAACAAAGGGAAACAACAGGTTAAGGAACCAGAACCAAAGAAACAAAAACAAAACAGAGAAAATGAGCACAGGCATGGGAACAGTACCATACACCAGGGGCATAACAGAAAAAGTACAGAGGGCGATGAAAAAACACAATATGAACACACCAGTGAAACCGTACAGAAAACTCAGACAAATACTCGTCCACCCAAAAGACAAAATAGAACCGGAGCATAAATGTAATGTAATATACGAAATACCCTGCATGTCCTGCAATAAGACACACATCGGGGAAACAGGGAGGGCGTTCAGTCCACGAAAAAAGGAACATAGAACAGAATGCGAGAAGGAAACAGCGAAGGCAAAACACAAGCAACAAAACACAAAGCAGAACAGGAACAACTCAAATCGACCGTTTCTGACCAGTGTAAAAGAGAAAACCACGTTATGAACTGGGACGGAGCAAACGTCACTGGGACAGAGGAAAACAAACATCGCCGCTGGATTAAAGAAGCAATCGAAATACAGAAACGTGCCCACAGGACTGTAAACCGGGACGAGGGGCTTTTTTTACTCTCACACACCTGGGATGCTGTCCTGAGGAAGTGGGACTGCAGGTGGCGCTGTCGTCCTGCCTCCACCGGTAGGAAGACAGAGACAAAACCTGTTTAAATCAGCTGATCAGACACGACGCAGCAACATCACGTGACTCTGAGGAAGACGCTGGTGAACAGAACAAACTGTCAGGTATGAAATAACACTCTAGGTCTGAAAAAAAGAACCTAATAACATATCATTATTACTAATCTGCATAAATAAATTCAACTCTACGACATATAAACATCACCACTCTAGAGCCACATCAGCCTGTTTGACATTATAATGTGTTTAATGCAGCTTTGTGCAAGTCTCACAGAAACAAAACTTAAACTTCTTAGGTTCTTTTTAAAGACAATGCAGTAAAGTGTATTTACCTTGTTGACATGTTTCGGCTGCTGCTGCATCTTCAGAACTGTCACCGGTGTTGGTGGTGACGTGTCGTATATCAGCTGTTGTTACTTCCTGTGGGCGTGGTCAGACCTGATGGACCTGGCAGGTCGCTCAGACTGACCACGCCTTAACCGTGATGACGGCGCGTTCCTCCTTTCACACACCTGGGACACCCTCCTCCAGAGACACCGGGCGACGGGAGGCGTGGTCAGTCTGAGCGACCTGCAGGTCCATCAGGTCTGACCACGCCCACAGGAAGTAACAACAGCTG